GGAGATGACATGGACAAATGAGTCTGTGGGTTGCCTTATCTACAACATAGTATTACTGAGTACAAGGTTTAATTCAAGCACCTTTCTTAATGTGCCTTCCAAAAACTTTCAACAAAATTTGGCATTGAGAGCTTAATCTTTTGTTAAATTGGACGTTGTTTTAGTATATATATATTTTTAAAAAACCTAGCTGATTTCTAGACTACCGAGGCAAGCTCCCAACATAATGTAAAAAAACCATTCTGCAATGAACCAAAAAAACCAATACATGTGTTTTACATTAAATCAGAGATAATTTGGAGAAAGCATTTTTGTCCCTCTTGAATAGAATAGAATAACAGAGTTGTAAGGGGTCTTGGAGGTCTTCTAGTCCAACCCCCGATCAGGCAGGAAACCATATAACATTTCAGACAAATGGTTATCCAATCTCTTCTTAAAAACTTATAACATTTACAATTTCTGAAGGCAAATCGTTCCACTGATTAATTGTTCTGTCAGGAAATTTCTCCTTAATTCTAGGTTGCTTCTCTCCTTGATTAGTTTCCACCCACTGCTTCTTGTCCTATCCTCAGGTGCTTTGGAGACTCCATACTGGAACACTGCTATCATGTCACCCCTAGTTCTTCTTTTCATCAAACTAGGAATACCCAATTCCAGCAACTGTTCTTTTTATATTTTAGCCTCCAGTCCCCTAGTCATTTTTGTTGCTCTTCTCAATAAAGGAGACATTTTATATAAAAAGGAAATGTTGCAACTATATATATTTTAATAACCACACTGCATATAGCTCACCAGTCTCAATTATTACAGCTATAATTTGAATTAATAACATGAATACTACCACAGGTATATTATTAGGGTTGCAGTTCTATTTTTTATTTTTATTGTATTGTATTACATTGATAAGCCAGCTGACTCATTACATGATACACAGTTTTTTAAATAATACAATACACACAGTACAAAAAGAATATTCTGTGGGAAAGCTACCATGTCATACACCACATAATCCACAAGAGATTCACCACCACTGTAGTCCAAAGTTCAGGAAAAGAGCCAGGTCTTAAGGGATGCAACAAGGTTAACATAGGAACTTATAAATATTTGGGAGGGTGTCATTCTATGGGACAGTCACCACAATAGAGAAAGCCCATTCCATGAATCCCAGGCCAACTTTCTTAGATTGTACACGATAGGCAGAAATTCTGGAAGGCAGGCAGAAAGTCTGTCAAGGACTATGCCATTAAACTTTCCAGATAATTAGCACTGTGAAGTACACATGGAAGCCCATTGATAACCAATGTAGCCCCCAGAAAGGGGTGTTTGATGGACTTATCAAGGCATGCCCATAACGCATGCTGTTATCTTCTAGGCCAGTTGCAGCTTCTGCGAGGCCTTCAAGAGTAGCTCCACATACAGTGCATTATGGGGTGTGTGTGTGTATGTGTGTGTGTGCATGCTTGTGCCGGTGCACATTTAGGTCTGTGCTGTGAGAAACTTTTAAATTTGCTTTCCACTTAAGTACCCAGGCCCAAATCTCATTTTGTAGATACAGGTGGAGTTGGGAGGGTAATATTTCCTTGACACAACAAGTCTCATTTCTGAGTGGTCTTGAACTGTTTCCTCCAACACCACTATGTTTGCTCTGCAAAATACAGGAATTGTGGTGTCACTTTTCATTGTAACTATTCCTTCCAGGCACTTTTTCTTATCTTCTTTCACTTTCCTGTTTTTCTTCCTATATGGTCACCCTTAAGCTGCACAAAGCCCTCTCATTGGCTCCAACCAACACATTTCCTCTAGGGATGAATGAGTTCACCGATACAGCCACCGACAGGCAGTCTCAGGACAAAGTTCTACTGATTCTTCCATCAACATCCCATTGGCCACTGACAGAGCCTTGAAGGAAATGGGTTATGGCCAAAGGCTACATCAATAGGAAAGCCATGTGAATTAGGGCAAAGGTTTGGGAACTTAGAATAGCTCTGCAAAAAAACCCCAAAAAACAGCCCTAGCCCCTTATTGAGTCTAATGCTCACATGTTCACAGCATCTGCAAAGATGCCCTGCAGATAGGAAGATGTACTTTGCTGTATAGTGTTCATCAATTTGTAATCTATATGAATCTACCTTTATGCACACATATAATCAGCATACCTATTTCATTAGGAACGTGAAGGGACAAGTTGAGTGACCTTGACAATAACGTATCCTTTTTTATTTATTTATTTATTTGATTTGTCAATCGCTTACAAGATAATAGGTATAAGTATAAACATGAGCAAGAATGCAGGAAATAGGAACTAATAAATGGGGACCAAAGGACAGGGACAATAGGCACGATTGTGCACTTTTCCTGTTCTGAATGCTTGCAGATTCTGGATGGGGAATTCTGGGAGAGGAAATCCACACATCTGGAGGCTGCCCTGCACACAAGCAGATGGTAGCTCTGGTGGCCTAGAGGTGGAACTCTTGCCTCACAATCAGGAGGCTGTGAGATCGATCCTAGATAGAGGCTAATATTTGGAGTAGACTCTCCTGCTCGAGCAGGGAGTTGGACTAGATGACCTCCAAGGTCCCTTCCAACTCTTGTTATTCTATGATATACACACTTTGTGATCACCCTGCACACACTGTATGATCGTTTGCAACAACTATGATGGTAATGGAAAATGAATCACAACTGTCACACTGACCGCTAGATGTCACTACTTACTAACCTGAAAGAAAATGCTATCACAATAATGGTAGTCCTTGATTTACAACCATTTGTTTAGTGATCGTTCAAAATTACAACAACACTGAGAAAAGTGACTTCTAACCATTTTTTACACTTACAGCCATTGCAACATCTCCATGGTCACGTGATCAAAATTTGCATGCTTGGCAGCTGGTATGTACTTATGACAAGTAAAATCAATAAGGAAGCCAGATTCATTTAACAACCATACTACCAGCTTTAACAACTGTGGCAAGGATGGTCATAAAATGAGTCAAAACTCACTTAACAACTTTCTCGCTTAGCAAGAGAAATTTTGGGCTCAGTTGTGGTCATACGTCAAGGACTACCTGTACAGCTTTAACATCCGCAAGAGGTACTCAGCTCCCATTTGCAACACCAAGTCATTCATGATTCCAAGGTACAAACCAGTTTCTTCACTATCAGTTGCCTTCTTCACTGGTATATAGATATCCATAGAGCTTTGTAAGGATGAAAATATATTAGCTAAAAGTAATAAACTTTTATTTATTTAATTATTTATTTATTTTTCACATTTTTGAACCATTCATCTCCCTCAGAGAGGGATTCTGAGCAGTATACAGATAAAATTTAAAAACATTAAAAGAGTATATATAATTTAAAGGTGGGGATGAATTTAAAAATCAATGTAAAAATATTGTCAACTTATAAAATATTCCTATGCCTGTTTTAATAGTTGCCATTAAAAAAGGGTGGGGGGAGGAAATCTGGAAAAGCAGTGCAGCAGTTTGAAAGCAAAATTACATTCCAACTCTTATCTTTAAAAGATTGTAATTAAAATACCAGAGCTTTTGCCCGCTGCGAATATATTTAATTGGAGAACGTGAATGATGACACCCAGCCCGTGAACATGCTCAATTGGAGAATCTGGTTTATGAGACACCCAGGGGGGAGGGGGGAAACAGAGTCACAGGTGACTGTAAATTACATATGCCAGAGTTGGCTTCATACAGGGCACTGCCAGTAGGTCGCCTCTAATAAATCCTTTGAAGTCTTTTGAAGTTTGGCTCAAGAATTATAATTTAATTAGAGTGATTGCTGGAATCCTGACAAATATATTAAAAAGCAGCAGGAAGATTTTTGAATCATTACCAGTCTTATGGCTGCATAGTCCTAGGTGAGCCCCAAGCAAGGAGGGCTACAGAGACGTATTTTTACACTTTTCTGGAAGGACAGGGAAGTTGGAGGTCCACCTCACTTCTGAGAGAAGAATGTTTCACAGGAAGGGGTCGATGGCAGAGAAGCAGTGGTGGGATTCAAAAAAATTTACTGCCGGTTCTGTGGGCGTGGCTTGGTGGGTGTGGCAGGGGAAGGATACTGTAAAATCTCCAGTCAGAGGTGGTGTTTTCCAGTTCTCTACACTACTCAAAATTTCCACTACTGGTTCTCCAAAACTGGTCAGAACTTGCTGAATACCAACTCTGCAGAGAAGATTCTCATCTTGGATCTTGCCAGCTGGAATTCTTCTGAGTCAACAACAAACCTTCTCTGCCTAACAGGACAAGTCAATATAATGGGACAAAGATGATTCTGCAGGAAAACTGGCCCATGGGCTTTATAGGTCACAATCAACACCTTGGACACAAAACAAATGATAATGCTCAAAGTAAATTTTTAAATATAACTTTAGTCCAGTGCAACAGTTTGTCCCTCCTGTACCCTTCCTCTGCTCTACTTAATGTATCATTATGTAGATCTATCACCAAAAGATCTATCATTATTTCATTAAGCTCTTGGAAGAGAACTTCTTGCCTTTCCTATCTAGTGGTAAGATCTGCCTGGCAGACAGAAATACAAGAGTCAACAAATATTTGATGAAGGATTAAAGTGATCTTAGTGCCACAGATTGGCTACATTTACTTATTTTAAAATAGGATTCTTTTAATCCCTGGTTTGCTGAGCAAACTCCAATAGTTTGCACAACAGTCTAAATGCAATTGTTGGGGTCACATCACAAGCATAATTTGATCAATCCATATAATAATAAAATGAGGTTTATGGACAGAGCCATGTTGTGTTTGACTGCCTTAATATTTTGTTAATGGGCTAAATCACAAAGATTGACCCACCCACCTGATCGTTTAACAGAGACTTTAATATTGCAGAACACATTAAAGATCTGGAATATCTTTGCAGCCTCTCAACCCATCAATCTGAAGGAGAAAAACTAGAAGAGAGATGGGCAATAGATGAACAGCTTTCAAATTTCAAAATGCTTTACAATAAAATATCATACCTACCAATAAGGACCTCGTCTCTGTCCAGTTCTGCTTTTCAAATTAAAATCCTGGGATCAGATTTTTAAAAGTTGAATCATGTGTCATTAGCATCAGGATCAGAGATTAGGGTCTTGAGAAAGGAAGTAAAAAGAAAGAGGACAAGCCTGAAATCTGAACAGACTTTAGGCAGGCAGTCATTGGGATTTGAGATACATAAAATAAAATCTGGATGTTTTAACATTGAATTGAGTTTCTTTGGGTTGCTCTTCCTTCCCAATATTAGAGTATCTTTGTTGCTATGGTGTAGGTCCATGCAGTCTGGGACTCTAATCCATTCTCCAACCAGAAAAAAAATCACTGACTGATTTTGAGCTGATCACCCATTTGATATGGAAGATAAAGGTGCTATGTATATAAGACCTTACGCTCCTGGAGGAAAAACAGAATCTAACATCAATCAATCAATTAATCAATCAAATAAGGAATATATTAAATCCTGTACACTGCTCCTACACATCACGCTGCATGGGAAAGTGGATGTATACACATGCCCCCATTCTATTATCTTTACATTGGGCTAGTTTTTTCTTGCCATCCATTGAGAGAATAAAACAAAACATGCTTATTGCTTTTCTTATCAAACATTATCAATGCTTTCTATTTGTCCATACCGAAAAGTATGATTAATGTAATACTGTGTGCTTGTATCCATCTGTAATACTGGTCATAAAGATTTTTTGCTTTGCATACAGTTGTGTTGGATTATGTGTCAGTTGTTTTACTTATTTTTCTGATTCACATAGCCTTCCAAAGTACTTCTCAGAACTGCTGTGTTAGCACTGAGTGCAGCAATGTCACAAGTGCTAACTGTTTACAATGGAGCAAGATCTAAAGAATAAGTCAGCAACACTGGAGTCTTCAGCTGAATCTTTGTCAGCTGATGGTATCTTGTGCTCCTGATTTCTTGCTCTCAGTTCCTCTCTGCAGACTTCCAAGATCTGCTTAATCACCAAAAGAAAAAGGAGACATGATTATCAGCATTTATCTTCTCGTATACCAATAAAGATCACTCAGAAATGCAACATGTGTGATTCTAATACTGCCCGTAAGTACTGAATGTCATGATAGCTCTCCAGGAGACATTTCCATACTGAGAGGCACTTTGTTCTGCCTTCATGCCTAGTTTGTTCTCTTAAGTGAAAACAGCCAACATGCTTCTCACTTGGTTGCATTTCAAATGAGTTTTCCGATTTTTTTTTTTTCTGAAGAGCTTCTTTGAAAAGAAACCTGAAAACTTTTCCTTCTCCAGTTTCATGATTCAAGTAATTTCTTGATACTCACAAATGTCTTGGAAGTCAAATTACTGAATACAGGCCAGATTTCCTAGCTGGGGTAATGAAATGTCTGGAAGAAAACAAGCAAGCTCAGAAGAGCACCAAGAACCCTTCAGATTTCTATTTTACCACTTGTCTAGTTGCGCAAGTCAGTTTACATGGGGATCTTTCTTTTTTTCACCCCATGGGGATTCCTTGAATTTTATTCCCAAAACTACAAACCTGTGAATAAACTGGGCTGAAAGGAAGTGGCTTACAGAGGCTAGCTTCAGTTCTTTTCCAAACTAGAGAAAGAGGAAGTAGAAGAAAGAGAGTTCCAGTTTAGGCTAGATCTAAATAAGCAGAAGAACCAAATATAAAATGAACAAAATACATGCTTTTCAGTTTCCTTTTAAATTCTGGCTTTTAAATTCTCTCAAGCACTTTCATAATCGTTATTGAAGATGGAAATAAACTTCAAGACTATACAATGGAAAAGAAGGTATATTAGACATATTTTGTTTATGTTTCCAGAAGCTGAGCCACAATCCAAACCAGAATTAAATGCACTAATCAGTGGCCCGAAATGTGCTTTCTTCAATCTACAGTTGCCAACTGAAGGGAGCAAGGAGAGCACTTGTCACATGCATAATGTCACCATGCAAATGTTGCAAATTACATATTCTGCATGATGTGACTGATACATTCATATAATTCCCACTATTGGTGCAATGGCATAATATACAGTACTAGCTCCATACCTCTGCTTCGCTATAAAACTATGTGGTTGGGCTTAGTTTTGGGGGAGGAAAATAAGGGGGGGGGGGAATTATGTCTCTGCCTACCAGCATCCATCGGTATTCATCTGGCTAGCATCCTGTCAGTGTGTGAGAGAGTTGAGGGCTGTTTGGAAATTGAAACAGTATTTGCTGTTCAAGCAAGGAGACAGCAAGGAGCCTGAGAATGGCTTAGCTCAACTGTTCTGTACTAAAGCTGCTTGGTGCTGTGAAACTGAAATTGAAACTCCTCTCCTCTGCTTTGTGTTTTGTATTTGGAACAGACTTCTTTTCAGGTGGGGAGGGAGAGTAGAACTCCTTTGCATCAGAGTGTGTTGATAATAATATACGAAATACTAATGCTGTGATGGTCATTTTGAAAAATTTTCTTAGTGAGCACCTAGAAACCATGAGGAACATACGTGACAAATTTCAAGTTTGTAGGCTTTATAGTTCTGGAGAGTTTGTGATGATGCATGAGTGGTATTTCCCTTTTATATAGATAGATAGATGACAACATCATAGCTTCTATCAAAAATCTGTGGCTGGCCTTATCTGCTTCTGCAAGGATTTGATTTTAGTAGAGTGGCTTTTTGGGGTTTTTTTTAATCCCACTATCTATCTCCTTTAGCTAAGAAACTAGTTAAAATGGAAGGGATTTAATTCACATGCTAAATTGTGGGATGTTAAGACTTTAGAGTGAGGTTAAAATTCAGAATCTAGATGAAAATATGGACAACCAGGGTACCTATAGTAATTTTATGTGAATTTACCTGAACATCGATTCCACAGATTGTTCAGTACAATTCCTTTGATTATAGAGCAGGGGTGTCAAACTGGCAGCCCGCAGGCTGGATGCATCACATCCCCGCCAGCTCCACGAAGGGGGAAAACATCACGAAATGCCACTTGACAGCAACGTGATGTGGCGAACCTGCAGAATAAGACTTCTTCATTGCATCACTTCAAATGTTTTGGGCTTTATTTACTTCCCTCTTGTGGATGCACCTGGCAGGTGGCAGCATGTTTTGTGATATAATGAAAGATTATTGGGATGCATTAAAAACATATTTCTCTTTGCTTTGCCTTTTACAATCTGAGCAAAGATCCTTAGATGGTTCCTTGCACAGAAATTACAATTATCTTAAAAGTGCATAATTTGTTTAAAATACTATTGGTTCCAAAGGCTGCTGTAAAATGCCTGGGAGGTAGATAAAAAGTGACCCAACTGCTGTGAAAATAAACAGTAATAACAGATAATACAGTTCAGACTCTGCCTGCTGTAAAATTAGGATGGCCCACAGAAAGGGTTCTTTTGCCACAATCTGCTTACAAAGCATCTTACTGGGGAACAGTTGCAAACTCTTCAAGAAGAGCAAGACTCATATTGTTAAAGGCATTGTTGGAAGAGAGCCAAGTTTTGCTTTTGTTTGTTGTTTACTAAATTTATATAGCCCCCCATCTCACATACATGAGATTATGGTAGTTAAGAATCAGAAGGGACATTTTATTAAAAGATGTAAGTTTTCCTGATCTACAGTTGCCTTGTATCTGATGAAATGTAAATTTATGGAAAGCTTAATATAATTTATAAAAAATTATTCCATATTGATTAACAGATGAATGTTTTCCATCTCCCTCTCTTAAGCAGAAGAAGGGGTCAAGTCAAGCACTCTTAAAAGAAATCAAACAACAAGGATGCAGTTTGAAAAATCCTAAGGACCAGGGAGAAAGAGGGGAACATTTGAATTACCTTACCTACAAAATTTTAGGATTCTCTAATTTCTTCCTTCAGTGCTCTAGGAACCATGAACTTTGGCTGTTCTGTTGGATGTTTGTGTTTTGAACTATCTTGTGATTTGGCAGATAGACAAAGGGTTGGGAAGCATTTCAAATTAGCTGCATTTCAATTAGACTTCCTGAAATTAATGGGATTCAGTTATTAACTTCAGTTATATTCATTCATTCAGTGGGTCTACTGTAATTAAGGTTATGTTTGGATACAAAATAAATATTTCAAAATATCAACAAGCTCTCACCTTCTCAATGCATATGTTGCTTTGCATTCCTTTTGTTTATAAATTGTCACTGATATTTTGTAGTTTGTAGAGCAGGTGTTTCTCAGAGCAGATATTTATAGGATTTATTAGCATTTCTCTGCTGTTCATTGTGCTGTTTCCTATAATTTCATTTGATCATATTTCTTCACTCCCTATGTTTTAAGACATGAAGAAAGCAGGATTACTTTTTTACAGTGTGTCCTAAAAACAGCCATATAGTAACCTGCATCTGAAATTGTTAAAATAGCTGCTACAAAGTGCTTTCCAATTTAACAACAGGATATTATTCAGAATTAATAACTAGAAGGAAAGTCTCCACACCAGAGGTAGTATTCAGCAGGTTCTGACCAGTTCTAGAGAACTGGTAGCGGAAATTTTGAGTAGTTCGGAGAACTAGCAAATACCAACTCTGACTGGCCCCACCCCCATCTATTCTCTGCCTCCTGAGTCCCAGCTGATCAGCTGAGTCTTCTTTTGTTGCCCTGCACAGGAGAACGGAGCTGGAAAGCAGGTTAGTGGGATGGGGAGGGAATGGGATATTGCAGTAACCTCCCCCCATGAGTGGGGTGGGAATGGAGATTTTACAGTATCCTTCCCCTGCCATGCCCACCAAGCTACGCCCACAGAACTGGTAGTAAACATTTTTGAATCCCACCACTGCTCCACACCTGTTTTTCTGACCAGGCACCGATACTACACTTGCTCATTTGCAAAGGTGGGGCCTTATAAAGGATTCCAGAGCTGACTTTTGGGAAAATATGAAAGAGCTTTTAAAGAGAGTCTCTTGAATAAGAGATTGAAGGAATAGTAAAAAACTAAAAATAACCCCATCTTGAATTCTTTTTTGTTTTGTTTTAGTATGACACAAGAAAAAAAAACATGAACAGATTTTCAAGATTCTGTTATTATACCATACAATAAAATAGCATTCCTAAAATCTCTGATGGATCTTTTTCTTAACCGGGCTTAACCTGAAGGACTGACCAGCCTCAGGGTAGGGACACTTATGAAACTGTCTATTCATGAGAGAGTCTCCCTCCCTCCCTCCCTCCCTCCCTCTCTCTCTCTCTCTCTCTCACACACACACACACACACAATATCCTGGCCCAAGCTGCCCATTATGTCAGACAAACCACAATGGTAAAGAGATAATGATAATGTGACAGAACCACACTAATAGGGCTACCATATCTGTATTGAAAAAAATCCATATGATCACAAAATAGCAGCAAACCTAATTCTTCACTGCCATCAAGTGATTTCATGTGAGA